TTGCTTAAGTAAGAGAAATAGTCTTGGGAGGGTTTGGTTGAAGGTATATTGAAAGGAAAGCTATAAATTGAAATTAGGAAAATAGCTTGAGCCAGATTGTATAGGGTTTTAAAGATTTTGTTAAAGGATCTGGATATTATTCTTCCTCATATAAAAGCGCAAGGCACACAATTCAGATGAACCCTCTTGAAAGAGGAATAGCTGTAGAACAGATAAAAGCACAAAGAGCATAGTGCTGGAGCCTCCTTTTCTGAGAATCCTGGAATAAAGTCATAAATGGGAAATTTTGAGTTTCAAAATAAGAAACCCATTTTTCCTCTAAAACCACTAATGCAGATTTACCATAAGAAGCCAAAAGAAACATCAATTTGGGAGATAGTTTTCTCTTAGACTATCCTTATTAGTAATGTGTATCCTTCTTAAAAAGTTTTTCCTCCAGTTATGCTTGATAGAAAGCCCTGCTTCTTTCCACCCTGAGCTATGCATACAGAAAAAAAAAACAACTTCCATCTGTTCTTTTTCACCAGAAATTCCTTTAATAGTATATATAAAGTTTATCATTACAAAAGTTATCATTTGAATAACACAAGTAAAATATAAATATTGGTAATCAAAATTTAGCAATTTATGTTTTCAAAAAGGAGAAAGAACCTTTAAAAAAAGTATTCAGAACAATTTTATATTCTAAAGTGAATCATAACTTGCTAGATTTGTTTCAGCTGGCAACAGAACCCCATACTTTTCACTGAAATCATTTTTCTCAGTTTTTGATGGATATTTATATTTAATAACTAGGTAGAGGCACTTTTTAAAAGAAATTTAAGTGCATGAATTAGAATTGTACATAAAGATTAGAAAGTACACTTGCCTTACAGGGATTTTATTTTAGTGGGTTCAAGATATGGCCTGGCCTCTCAGACTATGAAAAGCCCCAAAGGTGATCCCCTGTGAACAACCACAGGGAGACAAGAGGACCCAGAATTGTAACAAGGACTTTTGTGTTTTCCCCTCCTTTTCTTTTTGCCTCTTCCTTTTCTGTTTTATTAAAGAGAGAAGACAGTATGACTTCAAAATAAAATGTCTCCTTAATGTTCATCCTGATTTTCTTGTGTCTCAGACACTTGGATTTAATCCTTTGTTATACATCGATGCATTTATACAAGACTTTATAGAATCGTAGAGCTATGAGGTGAGAACAGAGGTGGGATTAACATCCCTCTCACTCGATATTTTAGCAAAGCTTCACTCTGTGGTTGTGTATTATCTGATATTTCTAGGTGGGCAAAGACCTGCAAAAATATCCAACCGAGTTGACTTAACAGGACTGAAATAAATATTTCATTAACCTGGCCTAAGGAGAGAACAAATGAGGCAGCGAAAGAAAGTGAAAAAAAAATCTCTACGAAGACTCATTGTTTTTCTCTGTTGCTGCCTCCTCTTCCTTGTAAATATAATGGGAGCATCAAGCTAATCAAGTTGTGAATTGGTATACCAACAACAGATCCCTCACACCTTCTAAAAAAATCTCATCAGCTTTCAGAAATGTACACCATACTAGAGGTGAAGTGAACCGTAAACTATAGATTGTCAGATGCTTCGGTCTCTTACCAATAATGAACAGTCACCAAGACGGGTTGCCTGTGTAGTAGTTTTTCAAATCAGCGACTCTAAATTTTAAAATGCCAGATGATCGATATCTGGCCAAATGCATTTTGGGCATAGAAATCTTAAATATGCACATTAGCTATATAAAGTAACTGGCAGTCTCCTTGAGGCTGGCAAAATGTTAGACACTGTTAAGCAGTATTTGGTACCAAATTATCTGTAAGAGCAACAACCACGGGAAATATTTTCCTTCTGGTAGGCTTATTTTACATTGTTATACCTTAAGAACTTAAGGGACAACCATTTTGAAAGAAGGCAAGTTAAGAGACTAAACTGATTAGAACAGTTTGGTGTTAAAAGCAACTGCTAAGAGGTGAGTGGGTAGAGATAGTAACAACAAAGACACACGTTATATTAGAAAAACAGTAGCTGTTCTTTAAAATTATGAACAAGTGAATACAAAAATATATTACTTGAAATTTTAATGAGGTCTATTAATGGCATTTTATCTGAATGGATAATATCTTGATACGATGATTACTTTAATTGGAGGGTCAGGCAGAACATATGAATAGATTACAAAACCGTTTACAGATGCGCATATAAAAGGGCCATGGATGGCTGGGAAGAGAAGCTAAGGATTTAACATTTCCATCCTAGAGGATCATCCTGTCATTTCCCAGGAAGCAATGAGTTACAGTGGCCAAATCATAGACTTTGGATTCAAATTCATAGCTGACTTTGAAACCTGGCTTAACTTCTTTGAGGCTCATTTTCCACATATGTAAAAGGAGAATTACAAAATTTTCTTCATAAGAGGAGTCAAGGAAGGTTAAAGAAACTCCTTTTTCTACAAGTGAGACCCTTAATCCTTTAGCATCCAAAACTCATAGCCTCACCATCCACCTGTGTCAGGAGGACCGATCTCATTAAGGACTTTATCTCCAATCCCTGTCACAAAAAAAAGGAAGCCTGGACTCTTAGGTAATCCCACCTGCCTGAACTCTAATCTCCATACGGCCCTGTGGACAAGGAGGCGTTTCTTCTCCTTCCCTGCCTTCATCTCCTCTGGAGCATTTATCACCATCTGATGATGTAGTTTAATATTTCAGTAATTTCTAGGTTTATTTATTAAATTTTTTCTAAATGTAAGTTCCTACTAAGAATATAGCTCCATGACTGAGAAATTTTATCTAATTTGCTCAATGCTATATCCCTAGGGCCTTATGAATGTGCCTAATACACAGTAGGCCCTTATTCTAAGTTCATTTTCTTGTGATTTCTCTCCTAGAACTTTACTTGGGACCTATGTTAGTGAGAACACCGATCTAACATAAGCTGACCTAACACACTCTCTCCCCCATATCCACACACAAAAAAGTAAACAACCAACCAACCAAACAAAAAACAACCAAATCCCGACTCCGTGTTAAAAAAACAAAACAAAACTATATTGATTTAGAAACATAGTCCTGGATTATTGCAGAAATAAATTAAGTTAGGCCCAGAAAACAAAATTCTGAGTTTGATCTTTCTTTGAATAAGTCTCCTGATCTCAGTGTTAGGAGTGTGTTCTGTGCACTGATTATGTGCATTCAGACATTTCAGAAGAGTAGGAACAGCACTCCTCAGCTGACTCACGGCCTTTCTGCTTCATAGTACTATGACCTGGCTATGTTCAGATTATGCAAATACAAAATTAGTATAATACAAAGGTCTACTCTATTAATTTCAAAATTTTGTATTAGATACATAAGGTTATGAATTATAAACCCTAATGTGCTAAATAAGTACAATTTATTATTATTAGATTCTAACCGACGATCATTATTTTTGGGGGGTTTAAATGGAATAAATATCAACTATATGTGTAAAAGATAGATTATTTCAATTTCCTTGACATAGTGAATACCTCTTAAGAAAAGATTTCCTACTCTTTCTAAGTGAGGAAAACCTGATATATACAGAGTCATCTAGGGGATCACAACAGTAAACAACATAACAACAAAATTACAGATCAAGCTCTCTTGTAGACAGATGCTACAATGTGCTAAAGAAATAATACACTAGGACATAGTTCTTATCCTCCAAATGATCTATCTTATAGACAGAGGGCATTCATTAGCATAAATGACTTTACTAATTGTTTAACCCACATAAATGCAAGGAGGCAAATATTCCAGTCTTTGTATAAAAACTGGCTCAAATTAGCACATAAAACTATAGTAATTAAAAGCTTTGAATTCACAAAATTCATATCAAATGTAGAATAGACTCAACATATAATGAAGCTTACAAAATATTTTCTAAATTTTCTTCTACATATTTCACATCTTAATTGCCTCATGAATACTTTTATTTCTTACCCCACAGCTTTCAATTGCTCTTCCTTTTTCTTTCTTCTAACTTCTCTTCGTTTATTTTGTATTTCAGATTCCACATATAAGTGAGATCAGAAAGTCCTCTAAAAATTGGTAGTGATAAAAAGAAAGTATTCAAATAGAACTAATAAAAGTTGAGAATTAGGCAATGAATTCCATTTTTATTATAATAATATTATTCCTTCGTCATCATCATCATCATCATTATTATTATTTCACAAAATGGAATTCATTGCCTGGTTCTCAACTCTTATTAATTTGATTTGAATACTTCTTTTTATCACTACTGATTTTTACTTGATCAGATATACTGGTTGATTACTCTCTAATGAATAAACAATAAAAATATGTCTCCAGTCTGGAGTTCCTGAATCAGAATCTCTGATGAGTGGGGCCTGAGTGAGCATCTTTCACTTTAAACATCTTCTCTTGTGATTCCATCTCATATTAGATGTTGCTTGCCATCTAATATCAGAAGAAAGACCGGTAACCACACTATTAATTTCAATATGAGATAAACTGAGACCAGGTATTCTGGAAAGCTATGAGAAGTTCTACAGAGACACAGAGTTTGGAGACATTGATCCTGACAGAGGAGCCTTCTAAAGAGATGATATATTAAAAAAAAATCTGTGAAGGATGAATACAAAGTAATAAGGACCACTTAAAAGGAACACTTATTGCATACCTCACTGATGAGAAGAAAAAGAGTTTGACTTGAATTCCCTCTTGTAGGATAAACCTGCAGCTATTTGAAGGCAGACTTCTCATCTTTTTCTAAGGAAAAACACTTCAGTTTTCTTGTGTTGAGGAATATTTAAACATTAAGCTTGACAAGGCCTGATATGTGAAAACATACCATTTACAGATGCTTTTGTCAGAATTCAAAAACAAATCTATCTTTAAAACCAACAAATCAACATTCTGACACCTCCAAAATTCTAATAAAGACACATATTGCAAGCAACTTAATTTCATGTCAGTCGTTTTTTTTTTTTTTTTTTTTTTACTAACCTCCAAAGTAAGAACCATCCGTCAGCTTCATTTCTTTACTGGACTTTGTGATGACACCAGCAACACCATGTTGAATGAAATACATTTTTTTACCCACGGCTCCTTCTCGTATGATATAATCTCCAGGTTGAAACACTTCAAATCTCAACTTGCTCAGCATGGCAGTCACAAAATTAGGATCCGCGTTAGCAAAAAGAGGCATTGTAGCCACTAGTTTCCGACAGTTGAAGTTGACTATCTCCTAAAGATGGCAAGAGTAAACAAATATTAGGGTATTAATGGTATCAGGAAGAGAAACTTGCTGATATTAAAAAAATAGATAAATAGCTTCACATCACAGTTTAAATTCAGAACCAAATATATATTAATTCTAAAAATCTACATATCTCTTCAAAACCAAGGATCGTCTTATTTTTGTGTTAAAATTTTGTATTCCCAGCTCCTACTGTAGTATAGGCATATAGTAAACATTCAATATATGTTAATTAAATATATATCTCAGCCTTTATAACTTTGCATTTATTATTCTTCATATGAAATTAGAAATTCTAAAACGTAGAAGAATTTTAGTCTCTCTTTTATCTTTTTTAGGGAGAAAAGAAGCCACACCATTTCCTATTAGCTATATCATTATTGCTTCTGTGCTCCATTGTGCTAGACAGTTTAACTCACACCTGCTGACAGGAATTCTGAAACAAGGGCCTGACTGCCAGACAACAGTATTTTGATGTTTTCTCTTAATATCCTTCACAATGGAGTGAGGACAGAAAAAGATTACGTAAAGGAGTCTCTAATTCTATAATTATGTATTTGATCTGTTTCTAGGCTAGAGCAGAAAATCACTCTCTTCAAAGTCTCTCACGTTTCCATTGGACTGGAGAGAAGTTGCATTCTCCTTTCCCTCACTTATTTTCTTTCTGGGCAGGAAAATTCTAAATTAGATCTACATGTTTAATTTCAATCTGTGGATTCCGGTCCAAATTTGACATCTCTCTGGACCAAAATAGGGAATGGGACCAACCATTTTTAATCTTGCAAGTCGGATATGTAATGGAATAAACAATGGGAATCTAAATTTGACCACAATGCCATTTCTCAGAAACTTCTCCAATGAGCCCTAAAGGAAAAGGGTGGAGCCTAAATTTGTGACCTTGCTTAAAACACGCAGACACAAAAATAATCTCTGCTAAGAGGTGGGAGGAAGGCAAAAAGGGAATAGGGCCTGAGTTCTGAATTCCCTGCTTTAGGAAATAAGTTATATAAAACTCTGGATTCCAAGACTGAGAAAGATGGTTTCTCTAGTCTTGCTTCATAAAATGACCTGATAGTATCCCGGGATTGGTAAAAAAATATTCCAGCTGATAAACAGGGCATGAAATTTGGGGTCAATCATGGAAAGGAAGATATTTCATCCTCAACAATATCTGTGAGTTCATCATATCAGAAAAGTGTCTCTAATGTGGAGCTTCATGGAAGATTGTAAAATATTTAAAAATCAGCAAAAAGAACCAGAAAATGAACATAGCAACAAAACGATAGAAAGATATTACACATGGTAGTTGGTGTGGCATCATTCAAGCCCAAGTAATACACAGCTGATCCATGAGTGGCTGTATCTAAGGCAATTTGTGGTCAATTTTCACTGGTGCTGAAGAGCTGTGGTAGGGACTACAATAAGGTTCAGCATATAGTAAGTGCACAATAAATACACATGCATGCATGGATGGAGGGAAGTAAGGAGAAAAGGCAGAGGATAAAAAAGAAAGAAGTTGAAATCTCATCAGTAGAAAAAATGCTCACAACATCTAGTTTTATTTCCTTTGGGAGAGATTACTTAAAACTCTTAATACATTTTCTCAAAACCTAGCTTGAGAAAAGAGTGTTATGTGTTATAAAAATGTCCTTTTTACTATTCAAAATACTGCTATACAAAAACACATGAGCATAAAAGGTGAAATGAAGTTAAAAGAAGGCAAAGATATGGCATTAAAATGACCAGATCATGTACTGCTTAGACTATCCATAAACTTTCCTTCCCTGCCAAATTATAAACTCTTTGAAAACATGCATGAATTTAGCTGCCTTCTCCATCCTCCATGGTATCTGGCATAGTACTAAGTACTAAGTTCACAGTACTGAGAACTGTGCTCAAATTACTGTGTGGGTGATTGCCCCTTGGGACCACAGTTCAGGAACTATTTCTACAAATGTTCCTGGACATAAGAGTTCTATAGTGTAGCAATAGGAGATTAAGTGTTACAAAAAAATTATTGGTGTTGACAGTAATAGTAATCCTTCAACTATGCTGAGGAGGTGATCAACATAATGATTCCCAGCTCTGCTATTTCTTATTTTATGAAATCTCTCATTTGAGTTCACAAACGAGATTTTGTGAGATTTTGATATGACAAATGTTTATGAACTGACTGATCACTCACCACATTTTGATAGCTTAACAATTTTTTGTTACCTTTAAATTAACCAAGCATATATGTATTGCTTGTTTTGCAGGAATTATTTATTTTTGTAAATTTGACCATTACTTTCTGGTAATTGCTAATCTCCCTGACACTTGCACAACAAAATCGTAAGCACCTAATCCATTAAATATTCTCTCTTGTACTTATGTAGAAATTAATGATCTCACATGTAAAATAACAAGAATACTGTATAGAAAACAAAAATTAATGATCTCACATGTAAAATAGAATACTGTATAGAAAACAAAAATTAATGATCTCACATGTAAAATAACAAGAATACTGTATAGAAAACAAAAAATAATTCAGGTTGCTGAGTAAATGAGCTTTCAAACAAAAATAATAGAGTCCTTTCGTCTATGTTCTTTCATTGGAACTATACACATTTTTTTCTTCATTGTCCTCTCACCTTTTATTTTAGAAAATATTCGAAAGTATATTTTGTAAGCAATTAAACTGGTGTTAGTTTATATACATAACTTTTTCTGTGATGCATTTCATACTCAGGGATACCTGTTGGAACTGCTTTGATTGTAACACTGTTTGAGGTAATTTCATATTATTGTTATATATTAAAGAGATCCACTCACTTTCTCTCTCTTTGTGGCACTTTTACTTCCATGTAAATACTATCTGATTGAAACTGTGAATTCTAACAAATATTTGATAGAAAAAGATGTAATGAGACAGAAACTTCTTTGCGTCTAAAAGCGCTCTCTCGTTTTTATATTTCAGGCTGTATTTCATTTTATAGCTATGCCACGATTTATTTATCTATTGTATTCTTCATGACATTTGGGTTATTTCTAGTTTTAGGCTAATAAATCTGTTATGAACATTCTTGAAGTGCCTTATGCCCTGATTTCTCTTGAATACTTATGTTGGAATTGCTGGGTAATTGGGTAGGCATATATTTTCTTTACTAGTAGACACTACCAAAAGTTTTCTGAAATGATTGTATTATTTTTCTCATACAGCAGCAATATATAAAGTTCCAGTTGTATTACATTGTTTGCAGAATTTGATGTCATCATTCACTTAATTTTAACCATTAGTAGATATGTAGAGATATCTTACATTTAAAACATTTTTTTCTCATTGTGGTTTAATTTTACATTTCCCCAATGATTAATGTCGTTATGCTCATTTTCACAGGCTTATCGGTCAGATGATTATCCTGTTCAGTGAAGTATCCAGTCAAGAGTTTTTTCTATTGTAGGAGTTCTTTTTATAGTTTGATGTGAGTTCTTTGTTGGAATATGCATTGCGAATATCTTCTATCTGAGGCTTGCCTTCCAATCTCAATGGTATCTTTTATTGTTATTGTTTTGTTGATAATTTGTTTCCTAGTTTGTTTAATTTTGTGACAATCAGGAAAAATGGGATTTGATATATTTAGATTGCTTCAAGAAAGATTTATGTTAACCATAAATCTGTGCTTTGGAATTGTGCATACTCTGAGACACTGGGAAAGTTTAAGCAATATTGTTTGATTGTAATTAAAAAGAATAGCAATATTTTAAGGCTCTTTCTAGTTTTATTGATCACTTAGGATCATTGCAGAAAGTTCCATTGTGTGAAACATTTAGTTTTCCTCCATTCTACATTATTTTATTCTACACAGTATAGTTCTACAGAGTTTTTTGCATGGAAGCTATGAATATAATTACTGTCATTACAACAGTGAATTTTTGAATAATCTTAACAAAACAGTGCTGCTGTTACGTTGCTGAAGTCCTACTCTCAGCACATCCTGTAGTTTTAAACTGTGCGGAGCACACAAGAGCTTCCTTCTAAGAATTTATATCAAATAGACATTCGAATGGCATCCAGACATGCAGACTTCTATACTAAAATTAGAAACAAACAAATACATTTATTCAAATCTGTATCAGGTGACATTTCATCACCTATAACATCCTAAAAAACAGTTGCCGCTGATATTGCCTATTTTTCCCCAATTTAATAGCCTGGACTAGTTGAATCAAAACAAGGTAATGAGATGTGTTAGGATTTTCTTTACAGCAGAGAGAATTTTAAGAATGAACATAATAAAAATAAGAGACAATATTTATTGAGTTTTCACTGGGTTCCAGGTATTGCTTTAAATGTTTTACAAGTACTAATTTATTTTATTCTTATAAAAAGCCTACACCTTAGTTATTATTACTAGCCCATTTTAAAAAAGATATTGAGCTGTCTGCCCCAAACCACACATTTGCAAAAGGAAATGGTTTGTCAGGCAGACCAACTTGCTAATTTGAGGTTTTGATTTAGGGTAAGAAGCCATCTTACCTTTACATGTATCTAGAATCACTATAAACCCTAAAGATTTTGATATTAACCACAAATTTATTTCTTTGAACTTTACAGATTTTGAGATCCTGACATGGACATTCGTTGACTGTGAGGTAGCAAACTGATGGCTACACATTTGTCTGTTTTTATTTCCCCCACAGCAAATATTTTTGAAAATCTGAATCTAAATGTCTTTATACGTAGCATGCATGCTCCAGCTTGCCACAGTTTTTAAAACATCATCTGTACTTAATATCTTTCGACTTCATATAATTAAACTATCTGACTGGCTTCTTAAATCAATAGAATTAAAGATCTTAGAACTATAAAGCATGCAAGTGCAAGAAAAGAGAGAGAAAGCAGTATTTGTTGTTGTTTGTGGGGTATGTCTTATGTCATAGGGGCCAGTGTCAATGTGTGCCCTTTACTTCTCCCCTTTTAAGAAATGTTTCTGGTCATTTGT